GCAGCACCACCTCCACCACCACAAGCACAGCCACCAGACAGCAGCAGCACCAGCACCACCACCACCGCCACCACCACCATCATCATCATCATCATCAGCAGCAGCAGCAGCAGCAGCAGCAGCAGCAGCAGGAGCAGCAGCAGCAGCAGCAGCAGCAGGAGAGTATACTTGGTGTAAGTTTCATCCGAAAGTCTACGAAAAGCCTCTGCGTTTGCTCTGAAGAGGTTTTGTGTTTTTTGCTGCCAAAGAATTTGTGTCTGCTCTATTAAAATTTCTTGCAGCATCTCCAGCCGCAGCCTGCATGCACACAAACCCTAAACCCTAAACCCTAAACCCTAAACCCTAAACCCTAAACCCTTGGTTTTGGTAAATACAGAAAGAGGGGAGAACCGCAGCTGCAGCTGCTCGGAGACGAAACAGCAGCAAATAAAAACTTTGTGTTTATTTTTTCTTGTTTTTGTTTGTTTAGATATGCGTTTGTTTATATTTATAATATATTTATATTTATTATTGTCTGTTTCTGCTGGTATAGGGTTTGGGGTGTATGTACACCTGGGCTCCAGGCCTTCTCTTTTGCACTCTTCTGCCGCGTTTGGTAGAAAAAGACAATTAGGAAGAAACCCAGCATTTGCTCGGACCCGCAATGTAGCCTGAAGAAATCTATCTTCTCTTATTTCTTTTTGTTGTGCTGCATCTCCCCCCCCCCTTGCTGCTGCTGCTGCTGCTGCTGTTCCTGCTGCTCCTGATCCTGCTGCTGCTGATCCTGCTGCTGCTGCTGCTGCTGGGTCTTCCTGGGGAGGAGCTGCTGCAGCACTTGCTGCTGTGCCTGCTGCACCGCCTGCTGCTGCAGCAACACCTGCAGCAGCTTCTACGGGCGGTGAGGCGGGGGACTCAGCCCCCGAAGCTTGGGGCGGCTCCATGCCCAGCGGGGCCCCCGTTCAGTGCCTGTTGATATTCTATAAGCAGCAGCAAACACCTGTACCTTTTGTTGTTACTCAATAGAGCAGCAGCAGCAGCAACAACAACGACAACAACAGCTGATGCAGCAGCTGCTGCTGCTGCAACCCCAGAGAAACAGGAGAGAAGAAAGACTGAGCTCGATGTGCAACTCTCAGACGGCGCCGCACGTTCATGCAGCCCCGTTGCTCAGCCCACTGCATGCCCTGAGTTGAGGTGTATACGCAGCTAGCGTAGAGCTGCTGCTCGTCCAGCTCTCCTATGTTCTGCTGCTGCAGTGACACGGGGGGGCTGCTGCTGCAGTAGTAAGAGAAAGCTATAGGAGTTAGACCCCGGCTAATAGAAAAGGTTGGCTCAAACACCTGATATGAAACAAACAAAGTTTACAAATATACAGCAGAAATAGAGCTGCTTGTGCTGCCGCCAGCGGCAGCCCAGGCCGCTCTCCCCCAGCCCGAGCATGCAACTAAGCATATATATATATATGGTTTTCTTCCTTTTTCAGAATATTATATTTGTTTAAATGTATATTTAAGTCTTTATACGAGAAATTATTTAGGATTTGTACACGTGTGTGGCGTACAAACTCAGCAGTAACTGCTGGAGCCGCCAGTCTTGCAGTTCTCATGTAGTGTGCGTGTTGTATTTGTTCTGTTGATTTGTATGAAGAATTTCTTTTTTTTTCACTTCTTTTACTTATTTTTATGTTTTATATTCTATATAAAGTAGTTGATTTGATGCACCTTTCTATGCCAGTCTACCCTAGACTGTCTTCTTACCTACCGCGTATATATACTTTTTCATCTTTGGTGTTTTTCTTTGTGATCTTCTGCTGCAGCCCTCATAAGAAAGGTATTTCTTGTTCAATAGCAACATTCAGAAACAAATATTACTTTTGTTTTAATATTCAAGTATAAACAACGCCGCATCGCATGACGACTTCATCGTTTAGGGGGAATACAGAAAGCCGTGTTTTCTGTGGTTATATGTAGGATATGAGGAAAACGAAACTAAAACCAAAAAAAAAAAAAAAAAAAGAAATAGATTGAGA